AGAGAGCACTTTTTGAAGAAAAATATTATCTCAATACTGCTAGTTTGCAGTTAAAATCATAACCATCAAATTGCTTGAGGTATATATTTCAAAGTTATGGATACTTATTAAAATAAAAGTAAACAAAAAGAATACTATTAATTATATTTTTTTATATCTTGTTGAGGCCTGTCTTAGTTCGGGCTGTTATAACAGAATACTATGGACTGGGTGGTTTATAAACAACAGACATTTATTTCTGACAGTTCTGGAGGCTGAGAGGTCAAAGATCAAAGTACTAGAAGATTCCTCACATGGTGGAAGGGGTGAGGGAACTCTGTGGTGTCTTTTTTATAGGGGCACTGATCCCATTCATGAGGCATCTGCCCTTATGACCTAAGCACCTACCAAAGACCCCACATCCTAATACCATGACATTTATGATGAGGATTTCAACATATGAATTTGGGGGAGACATAAATATTCAGTCCGTAGAAAGGCCTAATGAAAAGTTATATTTATTCTGCAGTATGTTGTATTTTTATTAATGTGCAGTAATTTCTGTAATTTCCAAAGGTTTGAGTTTCCACCTCCAAATTAGAATCTGTTAAATAATCCAAATTGTTTACAACAAATCCAAAATTGTGGGTTTTATTTACTCATTTTAACTAACACTGTCTTTGAGTATTTGGTGGCTCCTTATATTTATATCAAAGTTTTTAAATTATACTAATGGAAGTTTAGAAAAAAAAACTTTTCAACAAAATTGTCCAAATGAGGATTTTATGATTGCTACTTTTAAAAGTGAAAGAATCTTTAATTAAATCTTTTTTTGAGGAAACTTTGCAGTTGAGGTACAAAGTTAGTACCAACAATTAGGTCTCTAAACTTGACACTGGGATTTTAGTGGATGAATCTGCAGTGAAATGTCTTCCACAATATCCACAATATTCTTATTCAAGGAGTCCTTTTCTTTTTTTTTATTTAGGGTTTTTGAAATTTGAAAACTTTTCTCTCAAATTAGGAAAATTTTCATCTTTGACTAGCTTTAAAATTTTACGATTCCTCTTAATATTTTCTTTTTTTTAAGTTTTTTGAATTTATTATTTGAGAGAGTGTGTGCATGAGTGGGGGAGGGGAGGAGAGAAGGAAGGGGGGAGAGGGAGAGAGAGAGAGAGAGAGAGAGAGAGAGAATCCCAAGAAGGCTCCACACTGTCAACGTGGGGCCTGACTTGAGGCTTGAATGCACGAACTGTGAGATCATGATCTGAGCTGAAATCAAGAGTGGAGCGCTAAACCTAAAGAGCCACCCAAGTATCCCATCCTGTTAATATCTTCTAAACATGAACATGTGGTTACTCATTGAATTTTCTAGGTATTGAGTTCCTCATGAATTATGATAATATTTATTTAATTATCTCCCCTTTTACAAAAAAAAGTTCAATTAAAATTGTTTTGACATTAAGTCTCTATGTATGGTTTCAAATTTTAACTGTCATGGGTTATTTCTGCAAAATGTCACTTTACAAAGGTATTTATGAAAGAAAATTGAAGATCCAATTATTCTTGTCTAATAACACATTCTAGAAATTATATTTGTTTTTAATCTTATATTGATATCGTAGTGTCCAAGGAGCAGAGTTTGGTAATTTCTGATGGGCTCAGCCTCTAGCTATGTTCTCAGTGAGATGTGATGGACACATACCTAAGCAAAGGCAGGTGTGATAGACATTGAAAATCGTCAACTTTGGGTTTTTTGATTACATATTCACGATGTTAGAGTAATACTTGAGAAAAACGGGACAGTAATAAATAAAACCAAACACACACAAATACATAGGAAAGCAAGACAGTAGAAGCACACAAGACGGGCAATCAGGTCCCTGAGAAGAGCAGTTGAAGTACTTTTGTTCTGTGCCCTAACTCTGACTTTACTGCCGTGGCCTGGGTGCTGCATCCTGAGGTCACAGGTTTGCTTCCCAGGAACTTGTGCCCAACAGGTGGGGGATTAAAAACTTTTCTTCTTAAAATGTTAAGCTAATAAATTGATAGGTCTCTGGAGACATTTGTTTTTGTCTTTTATCACATCATAGTTTTGTAACTAGATATAAAATATGTCAGTACCAGCTTGACCTTTTAACTGTCTAAAGTTATCACCTTTTAAAGATGTGCCCCCCCCAACTCAGTATCCTCAACTCATTTAACAGTTGACTCAAATAATCAGAAATGCAGTTGCTTGTTGGTATTTCTTTTGATAAAATATAGTTCCTGAGGATGTATAAAATCCATCTTACTGTCTATTCCATCAAATAACTTTAATGTTAAAATCATAAAGGACTTGGTTAAGTAGCACTTTTTCTATACAAGTCATTTCTTCCAGGCCAATAATTTTTATTCTTCCTGAATCACTGTATGTTACCAATATCAGTATATATTAATTCTCAGAAATCAACTCTCAATGACCACTTTACAGATCAATCTCTGGACATTTTACTTATCTCCATTTCAAGTTCCTTTTAATTTAAGGTATTTCTGAGACAATTTTTTATTTCCTAAAGTAGATATATATAAGCTGCCAAGGGGCACCTGGGTGACTCTGCTGGTTAAGCGTTGACTCCTGATTTCTGCTCACGTCATGATCTCACAGTTGGTGAGTTTGAATCCTGCATCGGGCTCCATGCTGACCTAGTGGAGCCTGCTTGGGATTCTCTCTCCCTCTCTCTCTCTCTCTGCCCTTCTGGCTCTCTGTCTCTCTTTCAAAATAAATAAACTTAAAAAAATAAAAATAAAAAATAAAAGTGTGGAAGAGATACATAAGAAATAAAAGCATATTTTAAAAAGAACTGTTATGGGGCGCCTGGATGGCGCAGTCGGTTAAGCATCCGACTTCAGCCAGGTCACGATCTCGCGGTCCGTGAGTTCGAGCCCCGCGTCGGGCTCTGGGCTGATGGCTCAGAGCCTGGAGCCTGTTTCCGATTCTGTGTCTCCCTCTCTCTCTGCCCCTCCCCCATTCATGCTCTGTCTCTCTCTGTCCCAAAAATAAATAAACGTTAAAAAAAAAAAAATAAAAAAATAAAAAGAACTGTTATTAGAAGGGCAATTCATGGAAATCTGTTTATACAACCTAGTCCAATGGTTGAAGTGGTCATTAATTAATCTTCCTCCTTTTTCTCGGAGTTTCATAGAATAACGCCAAACTGAGGCTCCACTTAGTTTGCATGGAACTCAATGAAATAAAACATTAAGTCCCATAAGGTGGTGATTATTTGTAAGAAATAAATTTAAATAAAATTGAAGAGCCATTTAAAAAGAATTTACACTATTAAATATGGAACTTTTATAGACACCCTTAGCCTCTGAAGACACGTCTAATTCTGAATTCTTTTGAGAAATGATATATATAATTCCAGAATGTATGAATCAAAGATATTTATTCACATCCGAAGCTGTTGTAGAGTGTGGCAATGTGAGTTTTATCTAGAAGCATCATTAATGACCATTTAGATTGTAAAGGAAACTGAGGAGTTTACATTACTTTAGTCTATTGAACCATAAACATTTTCATGATATTTTGAGAAGGTGTGTGGATTTTAGTTTCTCCTTAAATATTTTCAGTTTCACTATTGAATTAAAATTAGTGAAATTTTAATTTTGTACTTTTTATACTTTGTTACTGAGATTTTTATGATCTGCATGGAATGTGGTAAGCATTATATTTGGACTAGGAAAAAAGCATGAAATAAATCTGCCTAGGAACAATTGATTTCTTTTAATGCCAACAAATTGATTAAAACATTAACATAGCTTAGAATATATTTATTATACTGGAGGAGAACAGTGGTTAATGCCATTACCAACTTTTGTATGTATTTAAACAAACTAATTTTCGGAATAATTGTATAGCCATTTCAGAAATACTGTCTATTCAGCATATGTTAGTTATAGCGACATATGGAAGTAAAATGCCTTTAAATTTTTTTTCAAAAATACACTATTTTAGTATTTGAATGAAAATAAACTTGGAATGGAGATAGTAATAATAATAAATTGACTTAAAACAGTGTCAACACTAAGCAATTTTATTTTTGAAAGAAAGAGAGAGAGAGAGAGAGAGAGAGAGAGAGCAAGTGGGGGATGGGCAGAGAGAGAGAGAGAAAAAGGGAGAGAAAATCCCAAGCAGGGTCCACGCTGTGTGCACAGAGCCTGACGTGGGGCTTGAACTCATAAACTATGAGATCATGTCCTGAGCCAAAATCAAGAGTCAGACTCTTAATAACTGAGCCACCTAAATTGATTTTTTAAAAGATAACTGCTCTGTAGATCAACTTTTCCCTTTCTTACTTTTTTTATGACCAAACTTACAGCATAGTGCTTTTTAATTTCCCTGATTGTTCACTATAGTACTCATAGATATTTTTCAATTTCTAAAGTAAAAAAAGTGATTATAAAATATATAAAAATTAATAAATAGAAAGATTGTACATCTAATATTAATGAATGAATAGACAGAATCAGGAAATTTAAGTGCTATTAGATGACGTTCTTTCAAACTAGGGTAGATAAAGTCAAGCTAGAATATTCTTTTTTTAAATGTTTATTTATTTTTGAGAGAGAGAGAGCATGCATGCTCTCAGGGGAGGAGCAGAGAGAGGGAGACACAGAATCTGAAGCAGGTTCCAGGCTCCTTGCTGTCAGCACAAAGCCTGATGCAGGGCCTGAACTCACAAACCGCAAGATCATGACCCGAGCCAAAGTTGGACATTTAACCTACTGAGCCGCCCAGCCGCTCCTAGAATATTCTGTTTCATGAGCAGAGAAATTCTATAGTTGAGTCCACCATGTTAACTCACTCCTTTAGGCTGAGTGAGAGAGCAAGAATGATAACTGAAATAATATTCTACTCAATTATTATAAAAACCTATGTGACAGAATACCTTAGTAATCCATGTGCAAAAGAACATTAAGAGATGGATGAAAGATTTAAAGATTGTACTTAAGTTTAATGCTGTTTTTACCACTAGCTCACAGTACTATGAATGACACAGATGTGCCTATGGAAACAACTGAATGCATTCAGGGTCAAGGAGAAGGTTACCGGGGCACCATCAACTCCATCTGGAATGGAGTTCCATGTCAGCGTTGGGATTCCCAGTATCCTCACCAGCATGACATAACTCCTGAAAATTTCAAGTGCAAGTGAGTATATTAGGCACATATAAATTTCAGCAGGCTCTCAGGAAACGAGGAAGAATGGTGACTCTAATAATTCCTGTGTTAGTAATTCTTAAACTTTAGTGTGTCTAGAGATAATCAGGAGTTAAAACGCAGATTCATCCACGCAGATATTTTGATTCCTTAGATGTGAGATTTGGACCTCAAATATGCATTTTAATAAGCACTCTAGGTGAGTTTTGAATCAGATAGTTGAAGTACCATACTTTGGAAAACGCACCTCTAGGTTTCTGATCACAGCTTTGTTTTTGCAGGTACATTTCATAACTCATTTAAGGATAATGATAGCCAGCCAAGTTTCAAGCTAGTGCCTTCTTAAAATTTCACATTAATTTTAGGGGAGATTACATTTTTTTTTCTTTTACAAAAAGAGGCATGCCTTCATTTCAATCAACATTGTAAACTAATGTGTTTTCGGCCTTGAAGAAATACTATTTTTAAAGTCTCAAATGAATGTTTTCTGCTGTTTCTAGATTCCCTTTGAAGAGTAGGAAAGTAAAACAATTATTTAGATGAATCAAGCCAAAGAAACTGCCCTTGAATATCAATTATATTGCCGCTATGTGCCTTCTCCATGGCTGTTTTTTTTCACCGCTTGACTTTTGCTGGACAGAACAGCCACAATGCCATGTGTTTTTAAATTGTCCACCTTGTTATGAGGAACATAAAATGATTGCTTTTGAAATTTATAACACACGTGCCATTCATAGTGGCTTTGCCGAAATAGCACCTATAAATAACATATATTGGCTTTATGTAATTGGCTTTTAATAAGAGAGCTTAACATTTCAAGATGGAGAATTATGAGCATGAGTTGGCCCATCCACTGGAGAGAGGAGATATTTTATAGGTTCGTTGCTTGTTTTAACTAATTTAATGTATTTGCTTAGATAGTAAAAACATAAATATTTTTTTCATTATTTTATAATAACAAATGTTTACTTGTCATTGTGGGTTTGCTTCCCTCATTTACTTCAGAGCAATTCTCTCTGCTCCTGACCGATGTGTTTCACACCTCAGAAGTAAATACCAAAGTAGAGAAAGCAAAGAGAATGAGAAGAGATTAGTTAAGAGGCACAAAGGAGACAGTGTCCATGCCATTCACATGTTTTGTTAATTTCTAATGACTGGTGATAATACTCAAGAAACTGTGTATGTACAAATACTCAAAAGAATTTAACTAGGCAATTGTTCATCTAAAAGAGCAAATTTGTGTAAAATTTATGTAAAACTCAATGCGCATATTTTATGCTGGCACAAATTTTTAAAATATACGTATAAATTGGTTAAAAGAAATAAAAGATTTTCTTCATAATAATTTTATCATTTCATAAGAAGGCTAATGGCTTTAATAAGGGTTGTAACTATGATCGCTTGCTATGCAGTGGCTTTAGCTGTTAGTGATCACTGTTCTCACGATCTTACATAACCCAGTTTGTATCAGGACCTATTTTGACTAGATAACCTACTAACTTGGTTTTATAACTGAACTCAAGTTTCTTCCTTAAAAAAAAAGCAACAAAAAACTTCTGTTTCTAATGGTGAACATGAATATTACTAAAATTGTACTTCTGATTGGACCTAAGTTATACAAAGAATGCAGTTTCCAATAGATTGAATATTAATCTTGTTAAATTATTTGTCAGGGCGTCTCTAAAGAGAAAGCCCATGTTTGCTTCAAATTTGAGAGCATTTGCTTGGGAGAGCAAACCATAAATTACATGTCTTATGTAACGTGAACCTTATATTAAGGTAAAATTCTTTTATATATAGGGAATATTAATATAGACTTTTTCCTGATTAAGCACTTTAAGTGTCTATCAAATCACTGCTAACACAAAGGATGTCTATGCAATACACTGACGATTTCTCCAACAGTTAGGGTTTCTATAGAATTAAGAGAATGTTTTGCAGAAATATTTATAAGATTTATAAGATTTGAGATCACTTTTATAAATCAATAAAGCAGCGTTCTGGAATGGAAAGAAATGTATGCAGCAAATTAAATCAAAGGAATACAGAATTCAAGAAATAGAAAGCTATTGTGTTTTTGTGTGTGTGTGTGTGTGTGTGTGTCAAATGTTTGGATAGGTAGAACTTTCATTTTAAATGAGAGATACATGTTGTTTCTACATTATATATCGGCCGTGAAAACATAAAAATAATAGGCCAGTGTTTACAAATTATAATAGTTGAGAGTCCAGGCGTTGAGAATGAGTAAGAAAAATGAGGTGGTGCTATTTTTCCCTTTCATGAGGCAGTAGTGTTTGTATGGAAGTCCAGGCATGTGGCATGAAAAGAATACTGACCTCTGACAGCCTTTATTTCAGTCATATGGGCGGTGTCAGTTGTGTATACTGAATTCTAAATTGTTATAACTCTCCTAAATCTAAAACTTAGAACTCTGTTTATAAACATGCATGCATTCGGGGATTCTAGAAATGTAATAGCGCTTGTTTCCCCATTTGTAAGAACTCAGGCAATTTGCATTAACGCGCTTATTCTCAATAGGGACCTACGAGAAAATTTTTGCCGAAATCCAGATGGAGCTGAGTCACCCTGGTGTTTTACCACTGATCCAAACATCCGAGTTGGCTACTGCTCCCAAATTCCAAAATGTGATGTGTCGAGTGGACAAGGTAATAGCTGACATTTTCAGGGTGGGCACGATTAATTTCAGGGTTAATGCCTAAAGGGAGAACACATTTCACAGCGGAGGACCTACTTCTTGTTGCACTGGTTTTTTGCTGGTTTGCAAACAAAATCACCAAGTCTGCAGTTGAATTTCTTTTACACGTTCATTTGTTCAACTTTTATTTGTTTATTTGAGTGCATACTAGTATCAGGCACAGTTTTAGACACTGGGGATATACTAGTGAGCAAAACAAAATTCTCTCACTCCATGGGACTCCAGAAATTCCCACAAACAGACAACGAAAATAAATAAGCAAAAGGGAAGTGGGAATGATAAGTTCGTTTGTGTAAATGCTAGAGGGAAAAATGTCCCAGAGGTAGAGGAGACGGTGTTCCTATTAGATTTTAATGGTATGGGAAGCTCTTACATATCAAGGGAACATTTAAGCAGGACCTCAAAGGGGTGAGGGAGCATCATCATGTACCATGTGCATGTATCTGTAAATAGCGTTCTAGGTAGAGGAAACCGCAAGTGAATATGCCATGAGATGGGACAGTGCTTGAAAAGGGAAAGGAAAGAAACACCACATCACTGTGGCTGGTACAGAACAAGCAAGGGAGACCATAGCAGAGGATGTGGTTAGAAAACAGTTGGGCTAAAATCACATATGCCTGGTAGGAATTGGAAGGATTTACACTTTTACTCTGAAAGAGAAGGGACTCTGTTGTGGGGTTCTGAAAGATGTAGATGATCTGTCTGGTTTCAATTTTAACAAATGAGTATGGCTGCATTACAGAAAACAGCTAGAGATTCTAACAAGGGCCAAAACAGGAGGATCCATTGCGTGTTTTCAGTAATTCAGTAAAAAGAGGATAGCGATATGGACCTGGGTGTTAGCAGTGGAGATGATGTGTAGCAATGGGGTTTGGGATAAAACCACCACTGACTTGTAAACATAGATGCCATTGAAGATAATTATTCCAGGAAGCAGTAGTACAGAAAAGTTAAAATGATTTAGGTTTAAAAAAGAAATCATTTGTCAAAGATTAATAATAATGTTGAAATCTGGGCATTTACTAGTACATAATGAATTCAGGGTTATGATTTTTAAGCAATCATATTCTTTCCCATAAATTTAATCATGGTCAGTCCTAAATCATCCCAAGCCAAATTTAAAGTTCATCTCATAGATTTATTGTCCTATACATCTCCCATCCTTTAACTTTTTCTGCAGTGTCATATTTTTTTATGAACAATTCTGAAAAGTTATAGAGGGAGGAGGGGTTGAGTCTCTTTTCAGTCAATTTCACTGTTCTTTGGCAGATTTCAAAGGTCATTTGGAAATAAAGTTGAAACCAGTGTTTAAGTGAGGTTTAGTACCAGCTGGATATTCTTTGTCCCTGTCTTCTTCATGTAAACAAGCACTGCTAATTTGAGATAGAGGCAAATGAAAACAATTGTTTAAAAGGTTTCCTATGTATGTTAAACTGCTTTTATATCCATATATATCACTTACCAAAGGGTCAAGTAATAAATAGAGAATTTTAGATTCTAAAAGTTAAGCTGATGATGTTGCTTATCTAATAAATCTACAAATTAATAGATGAAGAAATTAGTTTCAGTTTTATGAATTCAGATAGCTTGCCTAAATTCTCAAATAGCACAGCTGGGATTGAATATAACCTTCCTTGAAATGATTTTTCATTACTTTAAAAAATATATTATTTTTAACAATATATTATACCTGATAAGTGCAACATTGTGTTAAGCTCTGTAGGGCAAGTTAAAAACCAAGTCCTACTTAAGAGACACTGTTAAGCCAATTCGACATAGAGCTGTGAAATTATAATGGTTATGCCATTATATGATACTGCCAAGCTAATCATTGGCATTGTTAAATATGTGATATGTGTGCATGCATGCACATAAACACACACAGAAGGATGTTGTTATATTTTCCATGTAACAGAAAATACAAACACGTACAGGCTGTTATTAGAAAAGATTTTCCTAAATATTGAACATCTGAATTAGCATATAATCAAATGCTCTTCCAATCAAATATTGAATAACTCTATTGAAAACTAAAAACTGAAATTACAGACTTTCTTCAAAAATGCTTTTCAAACACAACTTATTAGATTATATAACACACACTATAAGCAGTAAACAGGATGCAATTCATAGCTTTAAGTACTTATATCAATATCATAAATAATGAAGACAAGTAAATGAAATTTCAAACTTAAGAGTTGGGGGAAAAATAAACCAAAAGCAGTAAAAAGAATATAACCAAGTTAGAGCAAACATTAATAAGGTCTAGAACTAATGAATAAAGCAAAATAATGGTTCTTTGAAAAAAATTAACAAAATAGTCACCAGCTAGTGAAAAAAAGAAGACAAAATATAAGAAAAAAAGGCAAAAATATAAAATAATAATTATCAAAGGGGAAATAAGCATTGAAACAGGAAAATTAGAAAACATGAGACTATTTTATATAACCTCATGTAAGAAACTTGGCAAAAAAAATGGATAATTTACTAAGAAAATTCAAATTACGAATTGACCCTGGTCAGTTCAATTAGTCCAAGAATTAGATCTATTCATAGGGAAGAAATATAGAAATGTATTAATGAACCATCCTATCAAAAATATACTGTGCCTAGGTGCATTCACAGGCCAGTTAATCTCAATGCTACATAACTTCCTATGTAGCTTAACAAATACAGTAAAGCACAATAAATTATATGTGAAACTTCCACCAGGAATGTTGAAATTATAATATTAATATCTATTAATATAATATTAATATTAATATCTAAACATGATGAAGGTAGCAAAAAAAACAATAAACTTATGTCATTTGTGAATATAGAAATTTTAAATGAAATTTGAGTAAACGCCCAATAAAGTGACTTAAATATAAAACATAATGATTGAGTGGAGTTTAGTCTAAGGACAAAAATGATTTAGTTTTAGAAATCCAATAACATAATTCATCTTAGACCTAAGAAAAGCAATCATATAATAAATGTAAATAAATTTTAAAATTTCTGTTACAAAATTTACTCCTTTCTCATAAAAACATTCAAATGAGATTTTCTGGAATATACACACACTCTACACACATATCTGTATATCCATATATATACAAAGAGAGAGAGAAGCTGAGACAGAGCCTTCTTTAAAATATATATTCACATTTTAACATATACACATAGACATCCTCACATACACAAACACGTATAGACACAAACACATATATAAGTATATATTATATAGTTAATGGGGATATATGTAGTATACAATTGATGAGGAAACATTAGAGACATTCTTATGAAGGTAAAAAAGAAAACAAGAATGTATAATATTCTCTTTACTATGTAACATTGTAAGTACAAGTTAAGATAAGTTAACATATTACTCTTTAACACTGTATTGGAGATGTTATTCCATATAAATAAAAGATCATATTGATCTTTATTTATGCAAATGATATAAATAGTAATATACTTAGAAAATTAAATTCAATAATAAAAAATCACTAAAGTAGCATTCATATATGAGTTTGAAGATTTAATTAAAGGGAAAACTATATCTATAATAGTAATAAAGCTGATGGAAACTTAGGAATAAATTTAGAAAGAAATGTGTAAAATCTGTGTAATAAAATTTTCAAATCACTACTCAAAGCCACAAAGGTGTACTTTAAACGTGGAAAAACATCCCTTGTTCTTGATATGAGAACACAACATCATGAATACATCAATTCTACCTAAGCTAATGTACAAATTTAATGTGATATTAATAAATAGATCAATGTCTTTTTCTGACACCAACAAACTGATTCTGCAGTTCTCTTGGTAGAGTAAACATAAGTATACATAAGTATACTATGGAAAATCTTGAAAAATAAGGGTGATTAGAGATAATTAACTTTATACATATTAAAACATTTTATAAAGAGCTGGTAATTAAGACTGTAGTTCTAGTACAATGAATAAATTCGCAATTGGAACAAAACACAGAAATGAGAAATAGACTCCTTAGAGAGATTTATGATATTATAAATGTGACTATACATAACTGAGTAAAAAATGAACTTTTAAAACATAATAATGGATCAATAAGGTAATAATTTGGAAAAATGATCAAATTAAATCCATGCCTTACACCAAAATAAACTCCAAAATAAACTCCAAATATATAAGAGATCTGAATGTGAAAAAGGAAACCATATAGAATACTAGAAATAAACTTGGAAAACTTGGAAGAATCCCTTTTTTTTTTTTTTTTTAATTTTTTTTTTCAACGTTTATTTATTTTTGGGACAGAGAGAGACAGAGCATGAACGGGGGAGGGGCAGAGAGAGAGGGAGACACAGAATCGGAAACAGGCTCCAGGCTCCGAGCCATCAGCCCAGAGCCTGACGCGGGGCTTGAACTCCCGGACCGCGAGATCGTGACCTGGCTGAAGTCGGACGCTTAACCGACTGCGCCACCCAGGCGCCCCGGAAGAATCCCTTTTTAACCTATATATGGTGAAATGATTTTTAATTAACACTCAAAATCTAGAGGCAATAAAAGAAAAATATGATAAACTACATTGAAAACCTACCATGGCATAGCACACACACACACACACACACACACACACACACACACCCATATTAAATTCAAAAGACAAAAGACAAATTTGGAAGTAAGTGTTGAAATGCATATTATAGGTAAAGAGGAAATATTTTTCATATATAAAAATTCTGAAACCAGTGTAAAGGATCAAAAAAGTTAAGTAATGAACAAAATACGTAAAGCTATATATATATTTTACAAAATACATAAAGTTATATATATATGTAAAGTTATATATACATTTAACTTTATAACTTTATGTATTTTGTTTGTATATATATATATATATATATAAATTCCCTTCAAACACAAGGAAATTATGCTTAAATTCACATAATATAAAAATAAATATAAATATTGAAATTTCTCACATTATGAGACTTGTATTTCTCACATATAATTTGTAAGAATTCAAAAGCTTGACAACACTATCTTTTTGCTAGGCTGGTTATCCATTTCCTTTTGGGGAAAGGAACTCTCATACATTGCTCTTAGGAGTTCAAAATGGTAAAACCCATCGAACATAATTTTATAATAATTAAGATTACATATGCATTCACTTTTTGGCTCAACAATGTACTGTTTGAATATACAGCTCCAACAATGTGCAAAAACATATGCATGAGTTTTTTACTGCAGCATTTTCTGTAATAGCAAAACAACTCAAATGTACTTTGGCAAAGTCACACTATGAAATATTATAAATTTGCAAAAAGAATAATAAAATTTTCTGTGAGCTATATGAAGTGATTTTCAGATATATTGATAATAAAAAAAAAGCAAAGCACTAAAGTACATATTTGGTACTCTGTTAGTAATAAATAAAGAGACGTACTACTAGCAATAAAAATGGGATGTAATAATACGTATATAGAATATACATAAAAATAATCTGTATATTTATATTACAAATATATATTTGATTAATTTTGCCAAAAAAAGTGAAGGAATTATACAGGAGTCATAACAAGATGTTAATGAGATTGGGTTCGTTGGTAATGGTAGGTCGTGGGTAGAAATACAATGATGCAAAGGGAAAGGGAAAAATGAGAATTCTCTGAGATATATTTTCATATAGTTTTAACCATTAAGCAATGTTAGTGTTTTCAATATTCAAAAAGTGGCCTCAAGAGGAACAAAAACAATATGCCTCCCTCTATATAAAATAGATACCAATACTACAGAGAAGGAAGAAAGACTAAGTTAACTTCTGGACACGATTTTCTGGCTGTATATGGCCTCACTGGGATATATTTAGGGCTAAATAACTATAAATAGATTTTGAACTTTAAAGTGTAAGTTTTTGTTAGTATTGGGACGTAGTTTTGAAATTATTTTGTGTACATTGTAGAATTGAGAAAATGGGCAAACATAATGTTACCTGGAATGAGGTTTCTCACACTAATGGAATGGATGGAAGGAAGAACTGTGGTATTAGACTGAAGTTAGACACACACACACACACACACACACACACACACACACACACACACACTACCTAGCTCTATCAAATAAAAGGAACTAGACATGATGGCACCAAATAGAAATAAGCACATTTGGCACCGATTTCTTGTCTTCTACTTACTTTCCATCCCCAAAATAAACAAGAGTTCCTTAGAGAAACTGATGATGTTAGGAGGCCCGGGACAAAGAGAGTATAAGGTGAGGCTGGAATATATTTCACCAGCAAGTTAAGAAGTTATAAAAAATTCATGTCTTCCTCTCAAAAACCTATAACCATTATCTAACCATGAGGAAAACATCAGACAAACCCAATAAATGGACAGTTTACAAAATACTTGACCATTTTCCTTAAAACTGACAAAGTCATCAAAGAAGAAAGCCTGAAAAACTGTCATATTTAGAAGAACCTCAGAAAACATGACAACTCAACATAATGTGGTATCATGTGGAATCCTAGAATACAAAAGAGGATATTAGGTTAACTAAAAATATTTAAACAAAATATGGTCTCCAGTTAATAATGCATCAGTATGGCTTAATATTTAAGACAAATCTATCATACTGATGTAATATATTAAAAGTAGGGAAAACTGTCTGGTATATGAGAAGTCTCTGTACAAAGTTACAACTTTCCTGTAAGTCAAATCTATTCTAAAATAAAAAGTCCCATAGCCTGTATTCAAATAAAAGGGTGATGGTGGTTAGGAGCATCTCTTCCGCTGACACAGAAAGCGTATGTGCAAAAATTCAAAACGTATAAAAAAATAGTACTAGCATACTGTATTGCACAATTGTTTTCTTCAGTAAGAGTCTATCTAAAGAATTTACTACCTAACAGCTAAAGACTTAAACTTTCCTAACATGGGGGGGATGGGGGGGAGGGAAGCACTGTCAGAGGAAAATGAATTCATTCGTATATTCTGCATATGTGCAAGTATGAGATTTTACAAATTTATGCTGAGAGCAATTTTATTGTGTATTGGAATGACTATGATATTATCTGTATCAAATCCTATCCTATTTTAGTTTTTATATTTAAGCCCAAATTCCTTATAGTGCTACTGCAAAATGTGATCCATGGATATGAAAACATGGCTTTTGAATATGCTTATTATATTTCTTTTTCATTATGTTAACTGATTCCTGAACATATTATTAAATTGTTTATGTAAAATTGTTATTAGGATTTATACCTATTTATTATGATTATACAAAGCATATTTAAAGCCAGTGACAATAGACTATGGTTTACCAAATTTAAAACAAATAGTCTTAATGTTGATGTATATTTGTAGATAACATTTTATAGTCAAATCTAGAGTGCTCATTCATATAAAAATCAGGAATGTTTAATAGATAGTCACTTTGAAAATGTGTGTTATTATTTTAAAATAAGGAAAGTGTTTCTTTTCAAATATAGAACTGCAATTCATGTGTTTGGAAGACCATGACATCCTTTTTGTGATATTTAAAAATTAGGAATATTGACATTTCTATCAATGTTTAATAAAACACAAATTATTCAATTGAAAAAAAGTGAAAAATAAAACCACATGGGACACATTAAAAGACATAAAACCAGCTTAAAATGGCTTCCATCAATCAACTTTGAAACAATTTTGAGTATCAAAATCAGCAACGGGAATAGATCATCATGTTGAGTAAAAAGAGGACACATAAGTCTATGTGTATATTACCACTTCTACTACAGACATTTTATTGCTACTAATGGTAGTAGTTGAATACTTAAATAGACATAGTGGTGAGAAGAAAACATTCTCATTTACAGAAAAATGATAATAAATAAAGAAATGCAGGAAATTGTAAAATAATTATTTTATCAACGTTTATTTATTTTTTTTGGGGACAGAGAGAGACAGAGCATGAACGGGGGAGGGGCAGAGAGAGAGGGAGACACAGAATCGGAAACAGGCTCCAGGCTCTGAGCCATCAGCCCAGAGCCTGACGCGGGGCTCGAATTCACGGACCGCGAGATCGTGACCTGGCTGAAGTCAGACGCTTAACTGACTGCGCCACCCAAGCGCCCCTAAAATAATTATTTTAAAACCAGCATAGTAATCACTGATTCATGCAAAAGCAACCAAAGTAGGCCAAGCCATTTATGAACGTTTGTTTGGCAATAAGATGCTGATTCAATCTGAAAGGTCCCCCAAATTTTCCTTTACATCAGTTAACCAAATTATCAAACTCACTACCAATAATGGAACATGATAAAATATGTCACGTCACATGATAAACTGCTGTGAAAAGGACAAAATATCATCTTTGCCATAATCCTGCCTTTATCTTGATTTTAATTATGAGAAAATAATCAGACAAAATGGAATTAAAGAGCATTTGCAAAACAGCTGGCTTGAGTGACTCAGAATGTTTTCTCAGGAAGACAAAATTCAAAACACAACAAATGTGACGGGTATATGAGTGTTCATTATATCATTCTTGTGACTTTCCTGTGAAGCAAATTTTTTCAGAAGAAAATGTTGAGAAATAAGTATACCATTGTAAAAATTCTCATTTATTTAGTGTCCCTATGGGCCACTCATTTAATTTTTTCTTTGATTGTTTTAAGTTTGTAGTGTGATATATAAACCCTTATTTCGAGGAAGAAAACTTTAGTTGAAAATAAAGATACTTTAATCTGAAATATAGGAGTATCTTTGACTTATACTGATTTCAGAGTGTGTTAACTTTTATGTTGACTTTCATGCTTGTAAAAAATGTTTTTGTTCTATACTTCCTTGTATTCATTAGACTTCCTTCCATATATTTTATGTTTAGATTGTTATCGTGGGAATGGCAAAAATTACATGGGCAATTTATCCAAAACACGATCTGGACTAACATGTTCAATGTGGGAGAAGAACATGGAAGACTTACACAGGTGTGTAAATTTCTTTCTTTCAATATATAATATGTAGTGATAACAGCAGATAGTATATTCAGATACGCACATTGCTATTTCTTTCTAGTCTTTTATATATTATATTAAGGTAATAAAAGCTTTAGATTTGTCATTCTGTGCAACTCAATTTAGCATTTTCCCTCCATGTAACAAACCTTTAGATAAGTAATTCAATCTAGCACATTTTTTATTGGACATTTACTATGTGTTCTGTTCTGTGATAGGTGCCATGGGAAATGTTAACAAAAAGTGGGCATAAGTTTTGGCTCCACTTTTAAGGATGATACGGTTATATTGGGAAGCAACTGTATGACTTGATAAGACTGTATAATTAAGTGGCAAATCTGAGACATGATTGCGACATAAAACTGATTTTTAACAAATATCTCAGAATATACGTACTATGAATAAAAGGAAAAAAGTTAGTGTCATTTGATTGTATTTGGCCACCACAATCCTATGTGGAAGATATTTCTATATGTGTGAATAAGGATGTAAGGGCTCGGAGAGGTTGTTATTTGGCCTCTAGTCCTATTTTAATTATAACTTTATTCTCTTTGAAAATGTACTCACTAGTGGATGACATGGTTTCATTTAATATACTTCACAAACCAGTAGAGACAATTCTAAAGCAGTGTTCTCTAACATAAATATGCATTTCACACATGTAATCTGCACTAACAGTCACATTTAAGGAAGTAAAAATAAACAGGCAAAAGTATTTTATATAATACATGTTACTAATCCAATGTATCCAAAGCCTTTTCCTTTCCATATGTATTCAATAGAAAAATTGTCAATGAGACCTTTTACATGTTTTTCATATTACAGCTTCAAGATCTGGTATATATTTACAATTAAAGCATCTCTCAATTTGGACTAGCCACATACCAATTCTTCAGTAGCCCCATGTGGCTAGTAGCTACTGTACTGGGCACCGTAGCTTTGGGATTTCAAACATAAGCAGAATTCTAGCCTCATGGATTTCACACTCTGGAAGGCTTCCCAGAAAAAGGGACATTAATTGGGACATATATGTTAACTAGGAGTTGGTCAAAGGAAGTGTAGGAGGAGAGTACCTCAGGCAGAAAGGATAGCTTGTCCCAAAGCCCAAAGATTGAAGTGTTGAAAATCAGAAATAATTTTGGTAAGGTTGGTCAATATCCACAGACAAGAAATTCTCCAGTAGCAAGACCATATATTGCCTTGTAAGGTGTGTTAAAAACTTTGGACTTGGGGGTACCTGGGTGGCTCAGTCAGTTAAGTTTCTAACTCTTGGTTTCAGCACAGGTCATCATCTCATGGTTTGTGGGATCAAGCCCCATGCTGGGCTCTGTGCTGATAGCATAAAGCCTGCTTGAGATTCTCTCTCTTCTCTTCTCTCTCTGCCCCTCCCCCACTCATGTTTTCTCTCCTCTCTCTCCATCTCTCTCAAATAAATAAATAAACTTAAAAAAACTTTGGATTTTATCTTATTAAAGAGATTCATTACAGAATTTTAAGTGAGAATTAGTGTGATTAAGATTAAATGCTATATTTCAACACTGATATTTTTGAAGGCATTTTTAGAAATATGGTGGGGTGGACCTAGCTTTTATGGACTTGTGACAGACAAGTGTACCAATTCTGCCTTCAGAGATTTCACATTGGAACTTGACGTTTTTATGATGGAAGAATTTACACTGCAGTAATCAGCAAGGACAACAAATAAAGACTTCATATACATCTCAGAGTGCCCTTTTAAACATTACCAGCATACCACTGGAAGTGTTTATTTAGGGAATTCATGATTATAACTCTTAATTCACTGAGTTTGGGTTGACCTTCAGAAATAGTTAAAAGTCATTTGAAAACAATTTGAAGGAACTTGATGAATGATAAGTTGCATGTTACCATTTTGGTTTAAGAATAACCTACAACTGAGTAAGGACATAGTACAGAATGGTGGTTTTGAAAACTGACTCTGGAAAGAGCCAGGTGTTCCAACCTCTGCTCTACTGCTTATAAGCCATGTGACCTTAGAAAAATTGGCTTCTGTGGATTACTATTTCCTCAAAAATAAGATAGCCTGTCTCATTAGGTTGGTCTAAGGTTATATATGTAAATCACATATAATAGAATCTGGTACACAGCAATTACTATATGTGTTTGCTGTTGTCATTAGTCCAGGGAATGAACCTAAGTTTGGAAAGATAGTCCAACTTTCCCTGTCCAAGATCTTTCCATTGTTTTGAATGACCCATTAATTACAATCAAGCATAGTAGTAATTGATAATCCAAAACAAATTCAGTTACTTGTACACTTTTCATGACTTGGTCAGGATGGCCATTTGGGATTTGGCTGTATTAAGCTCATCAAAATAAATACAAATATTGATGTTATATGAGTGGGCATGACCTTACAAAATAACGCAGAGAGTTTTTGCTTTTCTTATGTAATAAACTTAGTAAGATGTAAAATGAGAAAGTGTTACTCAGTTATCTGTCCAAAGATCATCTATTGTAATTATATAAACAATGATATTTTAGAGTTTCTTTCATTAGCACATTACTATTAATTTTTCAGCGTGTCTTTCCGTCTTTTCTTATAATGATGTTGCTAGTCATGCTTCTTACGTTTTTGAAACATGAAAAATACTTTTGCAATAGCTTGCATTTTCTAGGTGTTTTATAACCTTGATTTTCTTTGCCATCTGCGGTTTTTCTGGCAGTGTTTCTGCACTTCTATGAATAGGGATATTGTTACCTTACCACTGTAATTATTAAATAGAAGCAAATCACAAAACTTCTCATCATTTTATCTGTCTAATTGCGTAGCATATTCCAAGTTCCTGAGTTAGAGCACATGATTCCAAACTGTAAGAACAACAAAATAAGTCTAAAATAAAATAATTAAAATTCACGCCAAAGAGAAGCTCGTGTTGTTTCTATAATGGAAGTTACATGCTAGGATTTTATCTTCTTGGTGACAGTTTGTTTCTGTTGGACAAACTGAGCATCTTGTGATCTCCAGAGCTTGTTGTTTATGCAGGCATATCTTCTGGGAACCAGATGCTAGTAAGCTGAATAAGAATTACTGCCGGAATCCTGATGATGATGCCCATGGCCCCTGGTGTTACACGGGAAATCCTCTCATTCCATGGGATTATTGTCCTATTTCTCGTTGTAAGTACTTTCAGTGATCTTCTTCAGGTGAAATATTTTAAATACACTGAATCTCCACTAAATTGATACCTTAATCAGAGGTGGAAATATAGGAGGGCTGGAGTCAATCCTAAAGTGGGGATGCATTCCAGACTGACGGACACACACACACACACACACACACACACACACACACACACACATCTTCATCTCTTTTGTAGACAAAGAGACATTCTGATGACCTTTTAAATAATATTTTCCTCCTCAGAAGATTCTCATTTGAAATCCATACGCAATAAATGGTCATGGTTCCAATATGACTGCACCATAAAGACTTCCCTCTCAATACTAACTGTTCAGGCTGTGAGTATAGCAGAGCTCTTACAAAGCCCCCATCCAGTAACAGACCCATAGACAGACCTGAAATAACATTGCTTTCATTTTCTTCTCGTGCCTTACCAAATATTAAAAAGTCTAGAGCATTCTCACCACATTTCTGAGTCAAAGATGATTTTGTTAAAAGAATATCAGTGTCTAAAGTAAAAGATATATGTAAAATACATATGACTGATATACCTCATATAAAAGGGCTCCTATATATCAATAAGAAAAAAAATGTCACAGTTTAGGAGAAAAATGAAGAAAATGAATCTTAAAGAATAAGTATAATGAAACAAATAAACAAAAATAGATTAAAACTTAATAGAAAAAGTAAATTATAAAAGCATAAGATCATTTTCACCAATAAGACTGGCAAATAAGAAAGTAATTATTTATGCCCAATGTTTGTGAAGGTCTGGCTAGTTAAAATCTTTCAATACTGTGAAACTTGGTGAATTGGAAAGCTTGTCTGGAAGTCAGCTTAGAGAAATGTCTTGGGAGTTTTCAATCTTGGCACTAGTGACATTTTGTACTGCATAAATCTTTGATGTAGGAAGCTGTCCTGCGCAATATAGAATGTTTGGTAGTGTCCCCGGCCTCTATCCACTAGATGTCAATAAAAAAATATTGAGAATCAAAAATTATCTCTAAATATCGCCAAAAGTCCCCTGGGGGACAAAATTATCCTAATTGAGCACCACTGAATAATATATATTGAGATGGAAGTATATCCTCCATATGGTATTGAGTGAAAAAGCCTTATTATAAAACTGTGTCAGTAGCAAAAGACCATCTTACTAGACTACATATCTCATAGCTCTGTTTATAGCAAACATCTTTAAACATTATGTTAAACTATCTCACGTCTACAAAAGGACACCCTTTATTTTAAGAATGTTTTTCTTGGTGGGTGGGGGATGAGTGAAATAGGTGAAGGGGATTAAAGAGTACAATTATGATGAACACTGAGCAATGTATACAATTGTTGAATCACTATATTGTACACCTGAAACTAATATGACACTGTATGTTAACTACACTGGAATTAAAATATAAAAAACGCAAAAAAAAAAAAAAAGAATGTTTCTCTTGTGACATAAGCCAGTAGCAAGTACCCTGAAAATAGGAACAAAAGTACCCATTTTAAAGGATTAAAATGAAGAGATGATGTTTGCTTTAAAACATGAATTACAGCAGCACCTGGGCAGCTCAGTCAAACATCCGACTCTTCATTTCAGCTCAGCTCAAGATCTCAAAGTTCGTGAGTCTGAGCCCTATATGGGCTCCGTGCCGACAGTGTGAAGCTTGCTTGGGATTCTCTTTTCCTGTCTCTCTGCCCCTCCCCTGCTCATGCTCTCTCTCTCTCTCTCTCTCTCTCTCTCTCTCTCGAAATAAATAAATAAACTTAAAAAAAACCATGAAATACAAACACATAATTTATTGCAAATTAAAGAGATAATTTCTTACTTTAAGTGGAAACACTAGTCATGTTTCTGTCTTTCTTTCTCTTTTTAATGATTATTTTTGAGAGAGGAAGAGAGAGAGACACACACAGAGTGGTAGTGGGGGAGGGGCAGAAAGAGAGGGAGATACAGATTCAGAAGCAGGCTGCAGGCTCTGAGCTGTGAGCACAGAGCCTTATGCGGGCTTGAACTCATGAACCGTGAGATCATGACCTGAGCAGAAGTAGGATGCTTAACCGGCTGAGCCACCTAGGCACCCCAACACTAGTCATATTTCTGAAATTTTATCATAAATAGGCAAACTTCTTAAATATGATATTCATCTAGTATGGTTATAAGTGACTTGTAACTTCCCAACCTATTTTTAATAAATAAATTCTCTATAATAGTAAATAAACACCTTATATGCTCATAAATAAATTATATATTATTATATATGTTATTATATTACACATATTTATTTCATTAGTTATAATCATAGCCTTTCAAATTAATTAGTGCGTTCCTAATTTTCTATTTTTCCCATATTAGGGTTGGCTTAGGTCCTGAAAATGTTCTTCTTTAGAAGATGTCTTTCTAGTTTTAGCAATAAAAAGCAAAGAAACCTACCTATCTGGCACATAATTTTTTTTTAATGGTTAGAGGATTATTCTTTATAAACATTAGCTTTACCCGGTGGAATCTTTCTGTGACGTCTCTATGATTAAGAATGATGGAGGCTAATAAAATATCCAGTGGTCTAGGAAGAAGGGAATGCCAGGCTTCTAAAACAGTTCTATTGCACACCGACATAGTTCAGAGTAAAATGGTCCTGTAGAATCTCAGAGAAGCGTAATTTGGTTTATAAACCTAACTGACACAGGACTCTAATAATTTAAAAGTTCTCAAAACATATTTTCAACTAACATTTTAAAACTAAAAGTTAGTAATGTGCTATTGAAAGACTTCAGAGTGTTGCTAGTATGTGATTAAATGCTATTGCAAATAACTCATTTTTATTTCAATATATTCTGAACATTAATTTCAATAAATATTTTTACACTGTCATTTTTCTAACTAATATTTATAGCCAGGATTTATTTATATTTTCCCACTGGTGAAAGGCTAATAAAATTTATCTTTAGAAGATTTGAGTTCTTATTTATTTAACTGTAGAGACTGTATAAATCATTTTCACACTGTACATTTGTATTAAAAAACATGCAAAAGTTTTAATTTCTTTTTAAAACATGTTTACAGAACAATACTTAACATACATTTTTAGGATTATCAGATATGTAAAAATAAAATTGTAGAAATGCCTATATATTTACCTATGCACACACATACTTTGTAGATCTTAGACAAATCTTCAGTATTAAATAATTAGAATGTAGTGGTTAAGAGCTTCAACTCCAACTTCCAGGGTAAGAATTTCAGCTCTATTACTATAAGTGCCTTGCACAAACTTAACTTCCATCTCAGTTTGTATTACTTATTCACTTCTTAATTTTAAACTCAGTTGCTAGTGTGTACAAAACCCTATGTTATAACATGCTAGGTATACAACAATATAAACAATATTTTTTTTTACCTTCAGTTATCTTTCAGTGTAGAGAAGAGACATTTATGTAAATATAATTTAATAAATATATATTCATATTAAAATATATAATGAGAATGGGAACATAGATATCCGCCTGGAGAAATATGTGATGTCCATAAAGTTTTGAGCTTGGGTTGAAACTAAGAATACATTACAAGAAGGTTTTTTTCAGTAAGAATTCATATTTGGTTCTGAGGCCATATAAACGCAGACACATACACATTTACCTACTCTTCCATAGGTAAACCCTTTATCAATGACATGTTTCCCTTCAAGTTTAACTTGAATCAATACAAAAGATTTGTATCATAAATAAGTATATTTCAGATTTGAGTACTGTGGTGGAGATAGTATGGGAAAAGCAAAAAGAAGAAGCAAGAATAGTATTTGATGGTAAAATGGAAAAGGCCTAGAGAGCAGTTTCTCAAAGTTTTGCTCAAAGTGTTCAACAGAAGAACCTAGAATGTTTTTTAAAAAACTCATAATCTAGTTACCAATTCAGAATCTTCAGAAATCTGATTTTAAGTGGTATTTCAGCTTATTCTAAAGCATGAGAAATATTGGTTTAATGGAAATATATGTATATAATAACTACGAGTAATTAAAGTCCTAAATATACAATATCTATAAATTTTTAAAATGTAAATATTGTAGTAAATTACAATAATGAACTAAGTATTTTGTTTACCTATTAACTTGATGCTTAAAAATAGGAAACTTGATATACAATAAGGATAGAATGGTCAGTCTAGTGTTTTTCATCACAACACCAGAAGGACTAAATATCTAGTTTTTAAATTTAGAATTTTCAAGTGATTGATTGGAGTGGAATAACCAATATCCTTGATGTTTTAATGACCATAGTTGGCCTCAATCTTAATTTGTACTATGAGCTAACTGACTTCAGCTGACTCTAAGACAAAACCCTCCCCAAGGATAAGCTAAAGAGGGAAATAATGAAATTTATATGTTTGCCTTTACCCTTATTCATTTTAAAACATCTAGATCTGGAAAATGAACATAAATAACAACCCTTTAGCATATATTAATTCTTATGAGATTTCTCATAAATAACAGTCAAATTTGCATGTATTACAAAGGAATCCATATGCCATTATTGTTTTGCTGCTGGTTTATTTGAGCTCAGGGCATTTCCTGGGATTAACAACCAGCTGGGTCTAAACAGTGCCTGACTAAACTCTATACCATGAATTCTGAACAGTCAGACATTAAACTACAGGAAATGTTGCATGACTCATTCATTATTGCATAAGTATTTTCAAATCCTAGCATCTTCCAAGCTTTTCTCTTTGCAGAGATTAAACCCTGGTAGGGAGGTTATAAAAAAAAAAAAAAAGTAAGTTATGACATTTTAGTTAGAATTAACTTGCAGTTCCCAGTGTTCTTTTTTCCCATACTTTTGTTTTTGTTACCATGTGGAAGAATCAGTATTTGAAATATTCCAACAAAATGCAATTATATTTTGTTATCCCTCTTTTTCCATTAGTGACATTGATTTCTATTTTCTAGAATTCTTTTTTTTTAAATTTTTTTTTAACGTTTATTTATTTTTGAGACAGAGAGACAGAGCATGAACGGGGAGGGGCAGAGAGAGAGGGAGACACAGAATTGGAAGCAGGCTCCAGGCTCTGAGCCATCAGCCCAGAACCCGACGCGGGGCTCGAACTCATGGACCGCAAGATCGTGACCTAAGCTGAAGTCGGACGCTTAACCGACTGAGCCACCCAGACGCCCCTCTATCTTCTAGAATTCTTAAAACAGTTTTCTGAAGCATGCGGTGTTTCAGTTATCCTCAACCATATAACAAAATAAAACTGATTTTCAGAAAAACTATGAAAGGTCCCAATTACAAACAAAAACAAAAACAAAAACAAAAACAAACAAGCAAACAAATCACAGTCAGTCCGTATGACTGGCTCAAGCAAACAATAATAAGCATTAGTGCTATTCAATGGAATATTCATTGTGTATCATGTTGGGCACCTCTGTGACATTTCTGTAGAATGAGGCTGCTCCGTGAGGCCAGCAGTGTAATCTAAGCTTCCAATACTCATCAAACCACACACCTGAGTGTCTCCACAGCCATAAAGTAGGGCTTTCCTCACAGTACCCCGTAAAGTCATTAATACCCAGTAAGGTCATACATTATTACTAAAAGCGTACTATCACATTTTATCTTTAAATAAAATGTTGAAATTTTAGTAAGTTATCCAATTCATGGATATTTGGATTTTAATATATACTTTTGGTTCTATATAACAGAAATATGTATGAATGAATTATGTATATATGTATATATTTATTTTACAGGTGAAGGTGATACCACACCTACAATAGTCAATTTAGACCGTAAGTAATCTTTTGTAATATCTAGTATATTCGAATCTCTATGTGTCAGAAGTTATGTCATTATTTTCTTCATGGAAAATATCACTATATTAACTTCTGTCATAAAAATAAGTTAGGCTATTTGTTTTTATTAAATTCTTCTCTATGTGCTTGTGTAAAGGGGTTACAAAGGCAACTACATACTGAACATCAAAATTCAATTCTCTACCAGAAAATATAAGATGTTATACTTAACTTTGAGAAGAGCATTTATCTTACTCATAATTTTGGGCAAAATAGACATTAATGGACCTTCACCATCCTTTAAATTAAATCAGGATGCTAAAGTCAGAAAAAAAAAAAAAAAACCAGAAGGTTGGAAAGTTATGCAATGTGTCTACCTGCTCTATTTTTAAGGCTCTTGACATGTACCACTAGGTAAAAGACGATACAAACTGAGAGGTTCGGTTAATATTCAATTTATGAAAATCTTTTTAGAACTGTTTGTTTTTGATTTTCACATATGTCTTGGGCTGAAGGAAGATACTCAAGTATTTTGATTTAAGAGACCACCTGCTCTGTCTCAGCCTGAAGAAGCAAATGGAAATTTTAGACCATGCACAGGAATAGAAAGGATAAGGCAAAGAATCTGGAGAAGGGTCAGGAAAAAGTTGACGCCAAAGAATTCTGCATCATGTCATTTGGGTTTAATGATTTGGACATAATAATTTTGTCATCTGGATACGATTTCAATAAATGCAATCAATGCTGGTAACATGTTTCAAAAGGCTCTACATTCTTATCATAAAAAAGAAGTAATAAAAAACAAATATAGTTTTTTTTTTTCATTGAGGCTATTGATTTCCGTTGATATTCAGAAATGGCTACTATAAAGAACATTCTTCCATTTTGTATAGAGGTTTGTGAAGGAAATAACAATTAGCGTTAGATATGAACAGCCTATACTTAGTGCTTGGTGGGCAAAGCCACTCTCACTATGGCAATGCTGTCTACCTTGAGTTAATTCATTTTTTTATGTTACTTGTCTACTTAGATGAACATAGCAAACATTTTAGGCCTGTTTTGACACTATAGTCATAATACTTACCTTCTTTCCTCCAAATGTTCTTCTGACAAACTTACAGTAGTTACATTTGTTTAAGTACCATGCTTTTAAGCAAACTGAGAGGCACTGATTATTGCAAGATGTTTTGTCAAAATGTTGTCTTTGGTCCTCTTTTTAGATCCCGTAATATCTTGTGCCAAAACAAAACAACTGCGAGTTGTAAATGGAATCCCAACACGGACAAATGTAGGATGGATGGTTAGTTTGAAATACAGGTAATTATTAATAGACACAAATCACATGTATTTGAATTATTTGCAAAGTCATATTCCCAACAGGATGGTTGTACCATTCATATAGGCACCCATATGAGGGGGGCACAAGAGGAGACTGACCAGATTCTGCTTGCCAAATAGCTCCGGATTTTACAATTTGTGCCTTCAGAGACAGTGCCTTTTTAAATGTTCATGGAGGTTCCCTATGTGTTGACATTGTCTCTGATGACAAGTGACACTTCATTAATTTTTAAGAAAATACAACTACACAGAGAACCTACTTATACCTGGATATCACTGAAGCAGTTATAAAACACATGCAATTAATTCCCTAATCTAGGATATTATGACTTTCTTTTCTTTTTTTTTAAATTTTTTTAATGTTTATTTATTTTTGAGACAGAGAGAGACAGAGCATGAACGGGGGAGGGTCAGAGAGAGGAAGACACAATCTGAAACAGGCTCCAGGCTCTGAGCTGTCAGCACAGAGCCCGACGCGGGGCTCAAATTCACGGACCGTGAGATCATGACCTGAGCCGAAGTCGGCCGCTTAACCGACTGAGCCAACCAGGCGCCCCATGACTTTATTTTCTAACATGCTTATGTGTAATCATATCAGAAACTTTATATTTGTTTTCAATTTCTAAATTTTTTTCATTTGCATTCTAATGAAAATAATAATTTTAAGTTATAGAATAGTCTATCATTGAGAAAAAGATTAACCAACTATATTGATGTTGGATAGCCTAGCGATTATACTATTCAGCATGGATGAAAAATTCTTGACATGTCTATTTCTCATATCTCATGATATGTTTTCAGTAAAATCATTTTGGACAATATACTCCTATAAAAATTAAAATCACTAGTTATGTTGGAAGAATTAAATATTGAAAATAGAAGTTAGTTGAAATCTGATCTTACAACTTCCTATACATTACATATACTACACCATATGGTAATCTGAATGTTAAAGTACCTTTGTTTTTATCTCTCTTGGAACCTCATTATATAATCTATCCCAAAATACACTCATTTTAGCCCCATTTCCCCTTGTTTTCAAGACATTCCATGTTTCTCCCTCCAAGCCTTTAGGTTGTTCTTCTCACTACATGTTGTATCTTTCTTCCTCTATTTTATGTCTGGAAAATACTTCTCATTCTTCAAATACCAACTCAAATATCTCCTCTTTTTGAAGACCCTCTATGTTCCTTTACCTCTAACTTTCTAGTAGAGGTAGAAAGTACATCTTTTGCTACAATTAAATCAGGGATATTGAAGTAGAATAAAGACAACTTGAAACTGAAGTTCTTTTATGAATAAACTAATTCTTAGCAAGCATGGCATTCATAAATTTGATATAAATATAAATCAGACTCTAGATACTGGGTAGAAGATGCCCTAAAGTTTTCTTTTAATATGCCCTTTTGCAGAGAGTAAGCCACCAAATTTGACAAATATTTACGTCAATAATTGTGGTGTAGCTGTCCTAGGCATGTAGTACTGAAACAGAATTGTGAAACTCACCAGAATATTAGAGCTGACTATGAAATATAAAGATTTAATGAAGACTGTCAATTTTGGGGAGAGAGTGTTTCATTTTCTTTATGATAAATTTGTTCTAATATTCCACATATATGAATTAATTACTGATTCTTTGCAAATCTCATAACTCCAGAAAAAAAAAAAGAGGCATATACTTCTAAATTTATTACTGACCATGGGATGATGTATAAGAATAGTCCTTTAGAAGTCTCCAACCTTAGAGGAGCAGGTGAAACTCTTTTCCATCAGATCAGAGTACTATAAACTTTTAGAAAAAAATATTTTTTTTTCTTTTAAATCCAAGTCCTCAGTAAAAACAGCTGTTTAGTTATTCTTCCAAAACACATACTGAGAGGAATAGAAATTAAAACTCGATATACACTCTTAGCCTCCTCTGTGGTACTGGCCATAAATAATTGTGGTCTTAGTCTGGGAACCTTCTTCTATTACCCTCTGAAGCATTGAACATCTGTACTCTTTGGAAATGTAAATTGGGAAAAGTCGTGTTTTTTTCCATTTCTCTGCCAAAAAATAATGCATTTACAGATTTAGGATATCATCAAGTAAATGTGCTGGTATTTTTTATTCCCTACAAATATTTAATAATTTCTTAGATGATTTGTCTTATAAAATTGTTTTAATTTTATAAGTGAAATTTATACTGCTTGCTTTAAGCTCAACAAATTTACTCAAACTCCACTATATTCAAAGTTAACATTTCAAAAATAAATAATGGTAATGAAAGAAGGGAAATAATGTCCAAATATATATTGCCGCCATCAGATAGTTTTTAGGGTTTAAGTAAAAACTCAGAGTTGCATTTTTATAATCAGACATTGAATTTAAATAGGTCTACATTGTTTTTGTTGTTCTTTTGTGATTTTTGTTCATGCTAAATATTCTATATTTGTAGTACATACTTGCTCTCACAAGGATAGATACACATGTGAATATGTGTGGTGGGAATGGATCTCAGTGTGTAATGATAGGGCTCATTACTCAAAAATAAAAATGATTTCGTATTTGTTATCACACGAGGAAAAAAATGCTAATGCTTCAATCATCAAATATCATCCTTCCAGTAAAAGAGTTACTCATTTTATTCTCGCTGAGCTAATTTCTATATTTTCCTCTCAAATGCATTTATTTTTAACAATGGAGCCATAGGTTTTGCATTAATTGGCAGGCACCCTTTCTGCGCAGATGTTACTTGTTTCTCTTTCCTCTTTCTCATAGAAATAAACATATCTGTGGAGGATCATTGATAAAGGAAAGTTGGATTCTTACCGCAAGACAATGTTTCCCTTCTCGGTAAAGTGTTTCTGAAACCAATATTTGTTTTGAGCCTTCAAAAATATGTAGGGTTTCCATTTAGCTTTTAGGCTTAAAATGTGTATTCATTTAACAGATTAACCAACAAGTGTTGAACAAATTATGTACTTTCTGTTTTTAGATTTAGCTTGCAAAACTTACTTTGACTTAATTGATATTTATGTACTGGGTACTACTTCTGTTCACTTCTTTCTACAATTGGCATGACTCTCATTTGGGAGAGAATTTTGCTAGAATTATGTAAATAATCTTTCCCCCCACCTCCTACTTGCACTCTATATTTCCAGATAGAAATCCTTTTCTTAGTTACCAGCAAATTTCTCTCAATTCTCACTTCTCCTTTCTTATGTAGATCCAGGCTCAGAAGCATCCTGGGATTAATTTTTAATGATAATTAGCCTAAGGAAAAGTTAAGGAGGTAGCATTTGTAAACTTACTTCCTGATTCTCATCAAAGTCACTTTGATTTTGTTGGTATAAATTCTCAATCCCCATTAATAAACCAAACATATACAAAGCTAAGAAGGAAAATCTGCAGAAAATTATACTTCATGTGATGTGCTTCACCTGAGAATTTTTCACGTGTGGCTAAAAGAGTTTTTTTCTTAAATAGCCATTTAGAATTTGAGCAGTTTGAAGGCTCTTTCTCCTTATGTGTGCTTGCAACACTCAGAATCTCTCATAACGAATGTGTTGCTCTTTATTATACTTTGATTCAAATTTTAAATTTAGGTTATGTATCTGCCCTATTTATAAGCTAAAATGATCATATGTCTGAATAATACTACCCAATTTAAAATTGTATTTTACATTTTAATTTTTTTACTTAGAAACAAAGACTTGAAAGATTACGAAGCTTGGCTTGGGATTCATGATGTCCACGGAAGAGGAGATGAGAAACGCAAACAGGTTCTAAATGTGTCCCAGCTGGTATATGGGCCTGAAGGGTCAGATCTGGTATTACTGAAGCTTGCTAGGTTAGTTGCTTGAGAAGGTTTTGTATTTTTAACCCACACTGGAATTATTGAAGCTTTTTCTTTAGCCATGTGGCTATTCTCTCTCTTTCACGTAAATTTACTATAAAAGCATATGTCACATGTCATATGTGTTTGTGTGTGTGTGTGTGTGTGTGTGTGTGTGTGTACAAAGAGACAAAGACATCTTAAAAATTCTCAAAATTAATAAATGAAGTTTGACCAAGTCTGAATAACCTGCTCTAAAACCAAAGCTTAGGGAGTAATCATTTGGTAACTTTAAGAGGTAAAATAATGTTTAAAAAATACAGCGACCACTTAGCAAGTAAATGACTCATTTCTCTGCTACCTACCCCCACCTCTACTACCTACATTGGATTAGACATTCCCTTTTTCATTTTTAAGAAACAAGACTGTTTATTCTCTCTTAATCTCATATTAACAATTAACACCAAATTTCAATGTGTTAATTTTGTGTTGATTCAATCAAGGGTATTTATCATTATATTTTCCATTTTCAGGCCTGCTGTCCTGGATGATTTTGTTAGTACAATTGATTTACCTAATTATGGATGCACCATTCCTGAAAAAACCACTTGCAGTGTTTATGGCTGGGGTTATACTGGATGTAAGCTATTTTTAAAAGATAAGGCAATATCATATGTTTTTATGTAAAACAATTCTATTTGTTTCCTTTTTCTCACCTTACCTTGTGCTCATTAACTGTGCATTTTTTACACCATTCTAGCAATCAACTCTGATGGTCTATTACGAGTAGCACATCTCTATATTATGGGGAATGAGAAATGCAGCCAATACCATCAAGGGAAGGTGACTCTGAATGAGTCTGAAATATGTGCAGGTGCCGAAAATATTGTGTCAGGACCATGTGAGGTAAAAGGTTTTTTTTGTTTGTTTGTTTTTGTTTTTGTTTTTTTAAGTAAACAGTATGTAATAAATGTCATAGTTTCTCATGTTTGTTTTTTGTTTCTTTTTTGTCTCTTTGGTATCGTGGTCCATTTTTCTCAAATAAAAACCCCTGTATACCAGTTTGTTCTAAGAGACAGAAATTGGGAAAAATAACCTTTCATTATTCTTCTACACTTACTTTAAACAGTAAGAAAATCCATGTTTCATTATCAGCAAACTAAGATGACATTTGTCTCTCAAAACAAAAAACAAATACAATAAAATAATGCAGCCAGAACTCTAATGGACAGCTGTTCAAATTAAAAGTATTCAATACACAGTTTGATACATTTTTCTAGTTTGCATTTTTCTAATGTTTTTCTAAAGTTATCTGATCTTCCCAAATTCTCCCTAAATGAACCCCATGAGTAATTTTGTTAGCAGATACAGGCCTGGTTTTAAATTTTTAAATGTGTTTTTGGTTAAGCCAGTGTGCGCGCATGCGTGTGCGTGTGCGTGTGTGTGTGTGTGTGTGTGTAAACAAATTCTATTTTAAAAAACCAAAAGGTCAAAGTTTGTGGTTTCAAGAGCTTGGACATTTTCATTTGTTAGGCAACTGTTCTCTCAACTTGGCAGTTTTCCTATCCCTATTTTACATAGACAAGCTGTTAAACCATTATTTTACATGTATTTTTTTTACATTTTGTTTTTAATTTATTTTTATGCACATTTTGTACTTTTAAAATTATTTCTGAAACTGAGAATATTTTTTATATTTTTATTAAAAAATTTAATTCCAGGGTAGTTAACATGCAGTGTTCATTAGGTTTGGGTGTACAATATAGTGATTCAACAATTCTATACGTTACTCAGTGCTCATCATTATAAGGGTATTTAATTCTTTACACCAATTCCACCCACTCCCCCACCCACCTCCCCTCTGATAACCACAGTGTGTTCTCTGTAGTTAACATTGTTTTTGGTTTGCCTGTTTTTCTTTGTTTTGTTTCTTAAATTCCACACATGAGTGAAATCACATGGTATTTATCTTTCTCTTACTAACTTATTTCACTTAGCATTGTACTGTCTAGATTCATCCATGTTGCTGCAAATGGCAATATTTCATTCTTTTTTAAGACTAATATTCCTGTGTTTGTATGCACGTGTGTATATATGTATATGTGTATATATATGTATATATACATATATATGTATATGTGTGTATATATGTATATATGTATATGTATATATATAGATATATATATCACATCTTTATCCATTCATCTGTTTATGGGCCCTTAATACCGCTTCCATAATTCAGCTATTATAAATAATGATGCAATAAATGTAGGGCTGCACATACTTTTTTTAGTTAGTGTTTCAATATTTCTTGGGTAAATATCCAGTAGTAGAATTACTGGATCATACAGTAGTGCTATTTTTAATTTTTTGAGGAACCTCCATACTGTCTTCCACTGTGGCTGCACTAGTTTGCATTCACCACCAACAGTGCTAGAGGGTTCCTTGTTTTTCCACATCCTGGCCAACACTTGTTATTTCTATTGTTTTTGATTTTAGCCATTCTGGCAGGTGATGTCTCATTATGGTTTTGATTTGCATTTCATTTCCCTATTGATGAGTGAAGTTAAGCATCATTTCATGTATCTGTTGGCCATCTGTATATTCTGGAGAAATGTCTGTTCACATCTTCTGCCCATTTTTCAATTGGATTACTCGGTTTTGGGGTGTTGATTTTGTATAAATTCTTTCTATATTTTGGATACCAACTTCATCAGATAAGTCATTTGCAAATATCTTCTCCCATTCATTAGGTAGCCTGTTAGTTTTGTTGACTGTTTCCTTTGCTGTGCAGAAGCTTTTTATTTTGATGATTGATGTAGTCCCGGTAATTTATTTTTGCTTTTATTTCCCTTGCCACAGGATACACATATCTAGAAAAATGTTGCTATGGATGATTCTACAGAAATTACTTCTTGTGCTCTCTTCTAGGATTTTTGTGCTTTCATGTCTCACATTTATTTCTTAATCCATTTTGGATTTATTTTTGCGTATGGTTAAAGAAAGTGTTCCAGTTTTATTCTTTTGCATGTAGCTGTCCAGTTCTCCCAACCCATCTGTTGAAGAGATTGTCTTTTTCCTATTGCACATTCTTTCCTCCTCTGTTGCAGATTAATTGACCATATAATGTTGGGTTTATTTCTGGGATCTCTGTTCTGTTACATTGATCTATGAGTCTATCTTTTGTCAGTACCATACTATTTTGATTACAACAGCTTTGTAGTATATCTTGAAATCTAGGATTGTGATACCTCCAGTTTTGTTCTTCTATTTCAAGATTACACTGGTTATTCATGGTCTTTTCTAGATTGTTTTTTCTACTTCTGTGAAAAATGCTGTTGGTGTATTGATAGGGATTGCATTAAATCTGTAGATTTCTCTGTATAGTATGGACATTTTAACAATATTTGCTCTCCCAGTCTATAAACATGAAATATCCTTCCATTTCTTTGTGTCATTGATAATTTCTTTCACCAGTGCTATAGTTTACAAAGAAAAGGCCTTTCACCACCTTTGTTAAGTTTATACTTAACAAAGTATACTTTATTTCATTACTTTTTGTGCAATTGTAGATGGGATTGTTTTCTCAATTTCTTTTTTCCTGCTACTTCATTATTAGTGTATGGAAACGCATCAGATTTCTATACATTGATTTTGTATTCTGTGGCCTTACTGAATTTATTTATCAATTATAGTAGGTTTTTGGTGGAGTCTTTAGGGTTTTCTATATAGCGTATCATGTCATCTGCAAATAGTGAAAGTTTGACTTTTTCCTTGACAATTTGGATGCCTTTTATTTCTTTTTGTTGTCTGATTTCTGTGACTAGGATTTCCAACAGTATGTTAAATAACAGTGTTGAAAGTGGACATCCCTGTCTTCTTCCTGATAATTAGAGGAAAATCTCTCAATTTTTCCATATTGGTGATGAAATTAGCTGTGGGTTTTTCATAGATGGCCTTTATTATGTTGAGGTATGTTCCCTCTAAACTTACTTTGCTGAGGGTTTTTATCATGAACGGATGTTGTACTTTGTCAAATGCTTTTTCTGCATCTATTAAAATGATCTTATGGTTTTTATCCTTTCTCCTGCTCATGTCATGTATTACATTGTTTGATTTGCAAATATTGAACCACCTTGTATCCCAGGAATGAATCTCACTTGGTCATGGTGAATGGTTTTTTAAATCATTAATTGTTGTATTTGGTTTGCTAATATTTTGTTGAGGACTTCTGCATCTATGTTCATTAGAGATATCGGCCTGTAGTTCTCTTTTTTGCAGTGTCTTCATCTGCTTTTGCTATCAGGGTAATGCTCTCTTCGTAGAATGAATTTGGAAGCTTCCCTTCCTCTTCTATTTTTTTGGAATGGTTTGAGAATAGGTATTAACTCTTCTTTAAATGTTTATGTAGAATTCACCTGTGAAGATGTCTGGTCCTGGACTTTTGTTTGTTGGGAGTGTTTTTTTTTAATTACTGATTTAATTTCACTGCTTGTAGTTATTATGTTCAAATTTTCTATTTCTTCCAGATTCAGTTTTGGGAGGTTATACATTACTAGGAATTTATTCTAGGTTGTCCAATTTGTTGGCATGTAATTTGTCATAACATTCTCTTATAATCCTTTGTGTTTCTGTAGTATCTGTTTCTATTTCTCCTCTTTGATTTCTGATTTAAGCTCTTTCTCCGCGATGAGTCTAAAGGTTTATTAATTTTGTTGATCTTTTAAAAAAAAACAAGATACTACTTTCATTGATCTGTTCTATTTTTTTTTTTTTTTTTTTTTTTTTTTTTTTTTTTTTTTTTTTTTTTTTTAGTTTCTATTTTGTTTATTTCTGCTCTAATCTTTAATATTTCCTTCCTTCTGCTGGGTTTGGGTTTTGTTTGTTTTTCTTTTTCTAGCTCTTTTTTTAGGTTTATGGGTAGGTTGATTATTTGAGATTTTTCTTTTTTCTTGAGGTAGGCTTGTATTGTGATAAATTTCCCTTCTAGAACAGTTTTTGCTGCCTTCCAAAGACTTTGGATTGTTGTGTTTTCATTTTTATTTGTCTACATGTATTTTTTTATTTACTCTTTGATTTCTTAGTTGATACATTCATTGTTTTAGTAGCACGTTATTTAACCTACATGTATTTGTGATCTTTTCAGATTTTTTCTTGTGGTTGATTTCTAGTTTTATAACATTGTGGTTGGAAAGATGCATGATAAAACTTCAATCTCTTTGAATTTGTTGATACTTGTTGCCTTAATGTGATCTGTTTTGGACAATGTGCAGTGCAAGTGAAAAGAATGCGTATTCTGCTGTTTTAGGATGGAATGTTCTGAATGTATCTGTTAAATCCTTCTGGCCAATGTGTCATACAAAGCCACTCTTTCATTGTTGATTTTCTGTTTGGATGATCTACCCATTGATGTAAGTGGGGTCTTAAAGTTCCCTACTATCATTGTATTACTATCAATTATTCCCTTCCTGTTTGTTATTAGTTGCTTTATGCATTAGGGGGCCTCCATGTTGGGTGCATACATATTTATAATTGTATATCTTCTTGTTGAATTGTTCCCTTTATGATTATATAGTGTCCTTCTTTGCCTCTTGTTACAGTCTTTGTTTCAAAGTCTATTTTGTCTGATATAAATATTGCTAACCCAGCTTTTTTTTTTTTACTTCTATTTGCATGATAAATGCTTTTCTATCCCTACACTTCCAATCTACATAGGTCTTTAGGTCTGAATGAGTCTCTTGTAGGCAGCATATACATGGATCTTGCTTTTTTATCCATTATGTCTTGTTTTTTTAATATTTTTAAATTTTATTTATGTATTTTGAGAGATATCAAGACAGTGCAAATTGGGGAGGGGCATAGAGAGAGGGAGAGAGAGAATCCCAGGAATATGCCACACGGCAGTGTACATAGCACAGATCATGAACACAGATATCACAAAACTGTGATGTCACGACCGGAGCCAAAACCAAGAGTCAGGAGCTTAACCCCCTAAGCCACCCAGGTGCCCCACCACCCTGTGTCCTTTGACTGGCATGTTTATGTATTTTGAATATAAGGGACATAGTCTCCCAGCCTAGGAGCTATGGAGTTGTGGAATACTATATGCGGTAAGGCATGGGATAAGTTCAATCAATAATGAAGTATCTCTTGACATGTAGGAAAATACTCTAAATATGGAGCATAAATATGTATTGACATACATGTGTTATATATATTGCTTTAATATTATGTTCCTGAAAAGAAAATATTTACTCAGTTGAAGAGTTTTAAAAACTGCTTTAAAATGATATTGTCAGTAATAGATTATGTGTTTATAACCACTTTCAAATTTGGTGTTTTTCCAGTAAATCAGTATTACTGTGTCCATTATTATAATAGAAATCCTACTAGGAGAAAGATTTGTTTATTTATTTGTTTGTTTGTTTGTTTGTTTACTTACTTACACTAAGTAAACACAAAGTTTTGAGCTCAATCCAATCTTCACGACCATTTAAGAAGCTATGCACTTCTCCCACCCTACTGCCATTACTCAAAATGTTTCGCAACTGCTTATCAGGAACAGCCTGTAATCTGATTTATCATCTATATATTCTAAGATTCCTAACTTTATCACTGAATTGAATTATTCATTACACTATCATATATGTATTTTATCCATATTTTAAACAATTTTTTAAATGTTTATTTATTTTTGGTAGACAGAGAGAGAGAGTGCAAGCAGGGGAGGGGCAGAGAGAGAGGGAGACACAGAATCTGAAGCAGGCTCCAGGCTCCAAGTTGTCAGCACAGAGCTCGATACAGGGCTCGAACCTACAAAGCACAGGATCATGACCTGGGCCAAAGTCGGACACTTAACCAACTGAGCCAACCAGGCGCCCCTATTTTTTATCCATATTGACAAGAAAATTTTAAATTGATTCTGCCATGTCTCAAAAATGTATTTATCCTCTAGAATGTTTTTTTTAATATGACTTATATTTAAAACAAGGTAATATAATTCCTGAAGCCACTGAAATCTAAACAGTTGAAGAAAATCTCCCAAATGTTTGTATAATAGCAATGGAATCACATTTAGTGAAAGTCTTCCAAAGTGAATTGCTTTGAAGAGTTTGTATCAGTAATCAATGGTAAAACTTCAGATTTATTGTCATGTGGCATAGCTTATATGAAATCTCTTAGACTAACATATTTCCCTTGCTGTTTTATCACCAGCTTCACCCCTACCTTGATTTCCCCCATCATATAATGCTGATAGCTCTCTTTCTTACACCTGTATTTTCAAAACGAAATTTGCAGTAGTCTAGTTTTATCTCAGCACATCATTGTTATGGGAAATTTTAGATAGTCCTAAACACTCTTCTTCACACAAGAGGTGCCAAAAGCCAGTCACTGCAGTCGTAGGAGGCTACATGGTACATGTAAATGATGCAGCACATTTGTAATGATTATACATAATAACAAGCATAAGTATATACATTTTTATAAAAACATAACACAAAAATCAATCTATCAATCTATTCATCTTTCTTCTATCATCTGATGATAAAACAGGGTAAGCACCTATGCTTTAATATAATAGGCATTTGCACAAAAAGACGAAAAGAAAGAGAGAAAGGTCATGAAATCACAGGCTACCTTCCACAAAGGGGAGTATGAAATATAAAAATATATATATAAATTTAATTACCAACACCAACAGGAAATACAGGAGTATTCTTTCTTTATGCCAAGAAAAGTAATTTCTGAACAGTAAATAAAATTATTTTATCAATTACAATTTATATTTAACTTGTTAAAATAATTCTGGGGACAAGACAGAAGGAAGAAAAACAAAAAGCTTTAGAAATAAAAGAAGATTTAATGCAATTTAATCATATGCATTAATCATAACCTGTATGATTACAGGTGTGGTACAAAAGTACTTGTATTTTTCTAAATTTTCTAAATTTTCTATGTTAAACATATTCTGAACATCAGAAGAAAAGAAAAGTAAATATAAAGTCTACCTTCTAAGTAGCTATCAGTGGCTTTGTGTTAACTAGTCCGCATTCAACAAAGACAAAACCCACTTTAGAAGATGAGTGAAGGGGCACCTAAGGGCCTAGTCGGTTAGCATCCAACCCTTGGTTTTGGCCTCTCACCTACTGTGCTGTCAGCACGGATCAAGCTTGGGATTCTCCCTCTCTCACCCTCTCTCTCTCTGCCCCTCCCCTGCTTGCTCTCTCTCTTAAAATAAATAAACATAAAGAAAGATGAGTGAATATTTTGTATAAGACAAGTCATTCTTAAATGGATACTACACACAATAGAACCCGATAGAGAACTTTTGTACTTCCCTCAGTTTTACGTGACTAATTCTGTAGAAATACAACCAAAGGTCTAGAACAACTATTTCCGTCTTCATAGCTGCAGTTATTCTTTTTGTGTAGATGTGTATATTTGAGATATCAATCTATATAGAAAATATTAATGAATTACTAATTTTTGTTTGTAAAATAATACTTTTTTGTTGTTATTGTTGCACGTCTTCTTCCTAGGGAGATTATGGTGGCCCACTTGTTTGTGAACAACATAAAATGAGAATGGTCCTTGGTGTCATTGTTCCTGGTCGTGGATGTGCCATTCCAAATCGTCCTGGCATTTTTGTCCGAGTAGCATATTATGCAAAATGGATACACAAAATTATATTAACATATAAGATACCACAGTCATAGCTGATGTAACTGTGTTTGAGGCTTGCATCAGTACAATTCCCTTTTACATGAAGATTTCGGAGAACATGGAATTAAAGTGTCACTGAAAACAATCCTGAGACAACTACTTGAGTGTCATGTTTGTTAAGATACTCATTAATATTTATGGGTGTTTTCTGTCGTTTCGTTTGTCAGTGTTATTTTGTAAATGTTGAAGTGAATTAAGGTACATGCAAGTGTAGTAACATATCTCCTGAAGATACTTGAATGGATTAAAAACTGCAAAGGTATAATTGCTGGATGATAAAAGATTTAATGGAAAAGTTCAATTACTCTCTCTATGCTGCTTTCCAAGATTAATTTCTTAATAATGAATAAACCATGAGTTAAACATTATTTTAACCTCACAAAGACAATTTATACCTGTGCCCTTAAACTGTAGCTCTATATTAAATTATATTACCTTTCATACGCAATACACTATATTTCATTCATTCCTCCTCACTGTGTATCTTGTAATACTGGTACACATACTTTTTATGAATTCATGTACCCATATAATCCTACCTGGGTGCACATGTGCATGCACTAGAGTTCAAATCGTGGTATATCTAATGTAGCCTCTAAATATTTTGAGGGCTTACCTATATAGTTTGTCCTTAAGAGGAAACTATAAATGTCTAAAGACCAGTAGAAAATTTAAGGAAAGGTGCAAGACAGAAGTGACCAGCTCATTCTCTAGAAATAATCTGCAGATGATTTCTACTGGTTGGCATTTAAGGTGTGGTCATGACCCACAAAGTTAAGTAATGCCTAATCTAGGTGTTTAAACATATTTATCATCCTAGTCATTGTGTAGTTTCTAATTCTTAAAAGGAAGAGGGTAATATGTGTATTAGTATTATTTCTTTCCTTCAAATTTAGGGACACTTATTTATGAAAGATATTTTTAGATCTACTTTCCTAAAATACTTTTTACTAGTCTTAGATAATTGTGTAATTGAAGCTTAAAAATGTTTCGGTCTTTAAAATGTATTTAAGTAGGTTAATTATAAGACTTGCTGGGTGATTGGCTTGTAGTTCGCCTTCTTTGAATTTTTAAAGATTATTTCAGAGGAAAATTTCCATGTATCCCCAAAGATTTGTAAAGAGACTTCCATCAAACTATGCATTACAGTACATATTGAAGAAAAAAATCAGAATACATTTCTTAACCTGGAACTCTTTTAGCCTAATAAAACTTTATTTAAGTAAAGGGGAAAAATGTAATAGGAAAGGAAATAAACTAGCTTGTCTAAACTCTGAATTCAGTTATATTTTTAAAGGAGAGTTAAATCTGCTGAATGAAAGATTTTTATCAAGGTATCTAAATTTTGTCTTATTTCATTTTACAACTTTGGCATCTTTCTAATGCCATGGGGAATATTCATTTGAATTTTGTATTCTGTCTAATAATACCAGATTATCATGTTTATTATTGTATTTGACATGATTAGCTAAAAAATCTTGTATTTCTCAAGAAATGAGATCACAAGGACTAATAGGATAGGCTGTGAATTTTCACAAAACCATCCCGTACAAATTTTAAAATGATTATTTGAATGCTCCCAATCCAGTATCACCATTATCTCTCATGTGTTTTTCTTGAATAATGTCAATTAAGGCCAGAGATCCTAATCATGCTCTAAAAGTTTCATAGGACACTGTTTAATCTTGAGTAAAATGCTCTTAAATTTACTTGAAAACTTAGTCCACAGAGTGTAGGACAGCAAGTCGAGAAATGCCTATCCAAATTGTGCAATATATATATATATATATATATATATATATATATATGTATATGTATGTGTCCATTGCACAATTTGAATATATATGTACATGTATATGTACATATGGTCAGATATGTGCTGGTATCAAGAAACAGGGAAAGCAAAGAGACTTCCAAAAAGCTGTCAGTCCACACCATCTTATTTGATTGTATTTTTCTTTCCTTATATGATATATCATTCTAATCCAAACACTAGGAATTTCAAAGGTATATTGTCCAAAAATTATTTTTCAGTTTTTTCTTGCTGAACTGGCAAAATTTTATTCAGTCACATATTAGCGATATTTGTAAAACATTTATGAAATTCTAATACTTTTAAAAACTCATATTTTAAAATATTTCTTATACGACTTTTCTTCCAAATTTCCATGGAACGAGAGATAGGGATTCCCTAGATACAAGATGAAGCTAACTTTGTAGATATTTTGAATTCACTGTTTTCCATTTACTTAAAGGGTGAAAACATACCACCCATGAAACATCAGACATGGTACACAAAGCAGTTACAGCTTTGGGAAGTTCCCTTTGTAACAGAGGGAGGTCAGCAGAACTGACAATAAAAGCAAGATGAACAAGACCCATGTTATTTTAGGTGGTAGGACAATGGATAATAATAATGTCATTTTTCTCTGGTGAAAGATACTATTTCCTGGGCATTCTTTTCTTAATAAATGATAAAAAATGAAAAATCCAAGTTATCCAAAATCCATTGTATTTTGAGTAATGGACAAAGGGAGCTTTTAAATTAGAAGTTTTTAATGCTATTTTTGTTTGGGTTGTTTGAATAATGGTTATGTGCAGTTGTCACTGTGGACATTTTCTTATGTCTTCCAGGAATAGTAATGTAAAATTAAAATATTTGTCATAATGCCTCTGCCGTGCAGAAGGGGTGATAATCCTTTTGTATACTTCCTTAATTTTATTGTAAAATATGTAATAAGTTTTACCTATTTGCTGTGGGCAGGTCCCCAGTAAAATGGTTTATATTGAATCAATTTCTAGTATTAACAGGCTCTTGCTTGCTATCTGAGTGTTTCAAACTGTGGGAAATTTGAGACACTGGAAGGCAAGAAAAATAACAGTAATGGCATGTGATAGCAAAATTGTATTTCACTTATTCCTGTGAATATTTCTTGTTGGTACCAATGGTACTATACAAAGTGAATGTTATAGCCGCAACATTCTCTTGGGGGGTAAAAAAAAAGCACTGTCAAGAAATTGTTGTCAGACATTTTGTTGTTGTTGTTGTTGTTTCTAAATATCTTCATTTCATTTTTTTAAAGAAATAAATACTGGTATTGCAATATAGAAATCATGAGATAAGAAATTTTAATAAACTCTCTTGCTAAAAACTTTAAATTGATTAAGGTTCCAAATATAACTACTTTCAATTATATTACATATTGATAGACAAACTCATTTGGAAAAAAGTCAACTTGAATAAAAAGACATAGTTGTGTGTCAATACCTCTCACAATAAAGTATCTTTTAATGTTCAACTGAGTTTTGTAGTAAGAATTTACTAATACAAGAAAAATGTTAACATTTTCTGGTCCCTATAAATCTTGACAGTGTAATTTTAAGTAGGTTCATTTCCATTTGCACAGAAAGTTTCTATCTTTAGGAAACTGAAAAGGGAATACTGTGGATGTTATAACTGTTTGTCTTGGTGTAAATAGGAAATTGATAAGCTGCCTATTGAGTGGTATGGCTGGATGCTTACCCAAAAGGGGACACTGTGGTTATGACTTGTATATAAAGTTCCTGTAGTTAATAAAGTTGCTATTTTTATAACCATGATTATATTATTATTCTTAATAATAATAAAATATTTTATCACAATGCTTCCCTTCTCTTATTATAATTATACACATGGGCATGTTTGAATCTGTTCTAGGGCTTAGTGCAGAAAACAATGATCTCATTGACAGAAATTACATATACTCTGTTGTAAGAAATCCCAAAACTAAGACAAATAGGCATTAGTTTATTCCAAACTTGTATCCATGGCATTATCAGTGGTTGTCAGTAAACCATTCATCTCTATGTATTTTGATTTCCTCCACTGTAACATGTAATTATTTAGTCATTTTCATATTTGCTAGAATGGTGCTATGATATAACTTGCTAATACAAGAAAAATGTTGTCATGAATGATTACCTAAATTCCTTTATCATATCATTATATATTACAGAAGTAATTGCAAATGATTCAAATAATCAATTTGTACTCTACCTTTAAAACAAGCATTAAATTCACAATAAATGTGAATCCAATGGATGCGCCTAATTCAAACTTAAAGCAAGTTTGGAAGAACAAATTACCAATTCATCTAACCAAAAGAGCTCTGTAACACTATTGATTTTTCAACTTATATTGCCTCTTTCCCAAAAAAGTTGCTCTATTAATTTTCTGGCATAGATACTGTGTCAAGTGATGATTACTGTATCTAATTCTCTAGAATTATAGAATTATAATTATTATACCATAATTGTATCTGGTCTTCTTAACGATTATTAGCTAAGTAGAATATATGCATTTATTTCTGGTAGCAGTATTTCTGGTAGCAGTATCAATTAATATTTCAAATACATATATATATTCAAATATATATATATATATATATATATATATATATATATATATATATATATATATATATATACACTCCATTCTAAATGTGTACTCTGCTTTTTTAAGTAGAATAGTCCAGGAAAGCTTCTTTAAGAGATGGTATTTGAACAGGGTCCTCAATTAAGTGAAAGAGCAAGCTGGGTAAATATCTAGAGTCTAATAAATAAAACTTGAACGATATTTTTGTTAGTTTCTTAATATAGTGTATTCATTTACTCTTATAAACTGTAATGCTTTAATTAGTCCCATTTGCCAATATCCTGAAGAGAATCACCTTGGTTTGCATTTCCTCAATGTTTTAGTCCAGGAGTTTCATTGCTGTTATATTTCATTATTTTCTACACAGGCACCATCCTTAATTTACACAACCCTAAAAGTGCTTTCTATGTCGTTTTACCAAATAACAACCCTTTCATGTAAAATTCAGCTTAAAAGTCTTATTCTACACAGTCTATCTATCTAGTTGCTTTTATTTACAAATGTCTCAATTGCGTGTGTTGTTTAGGAGAAGGGAAATTTAAAATAACTTCAAGATAAAAAGAGTATTTATAGTAATTTGGCCAAAGTTTACTGTCCTATGAAGAATATATTATTGCCCAAAACACATCTAAGCAAGATGGTAAATCCTGGGCAAAGGAAATAATTCAAGAGAAGTGTGAGATTATAGATTATATGTATTATTTTATGCTTTTAAAAAGGTAAAGAATAACAAAAAAAAATCCCTATCAATCTGACATATTATCTAATTCCAAACTGGCTCCTGAACACCCATCACTTTATTTTCATTATTATATTTCACATCCTAAAAGTCTTCCCTTTTTTAATTTAATTAATTTATTCTTTTTAATGTTTTTTTTGAGACAGAGACAGAGCATGAGCAGGGGAGGGTCAGAGAGAGAGGGAGACACAGAATCCAAAGCAGGCTCCAGGCTCTGAGCTGTCAGCACAGAGCCCAATGTGGGGCTTAACCCACAAACTGTGAGATCATGACCTGAGCCAAAGTCAGGCACTTAACCAACTGAGCCAGGTGCCCCTAAATGTCTTCCCTTTTAAACTTCATGTTTGTATTCAAACCGTCCCTGCAAGCACCAAGCTTCTCTGTGACACCCCAAACCTTCAAATGTCATGGAATTTCCCTTGGGAATCCATCTTCAACATCTTTTTTTGTTGTTGTTGTTAAAAATGTTTTTATTTATTTTTGAGACAGAGAGAGACAGAGCATGAGCAGGGGAGGGGCAGAGAGAGAGGGAGACACAGAATCCAAAGCAGGCTCCAGGCTCTGAGCTGTCAGCACAGAAACTGACGTGGGGCTCAAACTCACGGACTGTGAGATCATGACCTGAGCTGAAGTTGGACGCTAAACCAACAGAGCCACCTAGGCGCCCCCATCTTCAACATCTTCATCTAGAAGTTATTTCTTCAGTCCTATTTCTGGGTGTGCTGATGCTTCCTTTCCACTTGTTAGAAGAATCTGCCTATGTCCACGTGAGATTTATTTTGTTTTATTCTGCTTTGTTTTTAATGTGCAAACTGCCTCCACTCAGTTTGAGCTTCATCAGCATTATCTTGTTATTAAGCTTTGTATATTTATTTTTCACAGTGCTTCCCCCATAATGATACCCAATAAATATTTTATAACACCCTATTTAAATTTCTAGAATTCACCCTATTTTTGAAGGTTTATCAGTGTTATGCAGAGATATGTAAGTTTTGTAAAAATTATGAAAATCTCC